GATGGATTACAAAAAATTCTATCATGGGTTAACAAAAATAAAAAATAAAAAATAAAAAATAAAAAATAAAATTCGATCATGGATTACAAGAAAAAAAACAAACATTTCGATCATGGATTACAAAAAATTCGATCATGGATTACAAAAAATTCTATCATGGGTTACAAAAAAAAAAAAAACAAAAATTTCGATCATGGATTACAAAAAAAAAAAAAACAATTCGATCATGGATTACAAAAAATCGATCAAGTATTACAAAACATTCGATCATGGATTACAAAAAAAATAAAAAAAATAAAAAAAAAAGGGAAAATTCTGTTCTATACAGAGCCATTTTACATAAGCGATTTTAACTAAAAAATCCACGTCTAAGTGAATAAATTACATCCAACTGAGTATATTTTCTGATAAACAGCAATATAAGGAATCAAAACCCTAAATTTTTAACACATTATTTCTAATATATCATGAAAACAAAATCAAAAGGCGGAAAAAAAAAAAAACAGCGCAATTTTGGTTCCGCAGACATCTCAGTGTTTATCTCAAATTTCATGCTGTAATTGACCAGATTACGTAAAATTGAAAATTTTAAATCATACTAGACACAATAAAGATTAAAAACCCTAATTATTGAACTCATTATGTTCAAAATATGCGGTGAAATAAATCAAATGGCGGAAAAAAAAAAAAACCTAAACTTCTTACCTGATTTTGTGAACCGAAGCCTTCAATCTCCAAAAAACTCTGTTTTTCTCAACGATTATCACAAATTAGTAACAAAAGGTTTTGATTCACAGCTTTACGATCAAAATGCCTATAAATTTTGAAAGATTCATGCCCTATTTGGCATGAAACTTTCAGAAAAGGCGGAAACCCTAAAAAAGCAAGTTTCGTGATCCAAAAACACCAAAATTTTCAACCATTTAATTGAATAAAGCTGTTTACAGCCTGCAAATTAGATCATATGCCAAAAAAAATAAGAAAAATGATAAAAAAATGACAAATTTCAAATAATCCCGTGAAGAACACGGTATTCTTCACTGACTCGCCGATTTCGCACAGTGACTCGGCGAGTCACTGTGCAGAATCGTCCGTTTCTCTCTAAAACCAGACGATTTTCGATTTTTTAGCCGATACAATCCGATTTTCGATTTTTTAGTCGATACGATCCACTTTTTACGATTTTCGAGTTGGACCCGACGTTTTTTAAAACTATGCTTCTAACCATATGATGTGAAAGGGCCAAAAAGGTCTGGAAATTAGGATACGTGGAAAGTACATTTACATTTAATAAAACAGCGGAACAGACCGAACATGAAGTTCGTTGCTCTGTCGGTGGAGCCCAGTGAATCGAAATTTTGGCTCATTCTAGTGAGAGATTTCAGAAAAGAAGAGAGAGAAAGTTCTTACTTTTCGTCCAAGAAAGGTGGGAGATCCTACATTCTCTCTCTACGTGGCTGAGTTATATGAAACCATGCTTGAACAGGTCGTGTTTCCAATTCTAAAGGCGTCACAGATGCATATAACCCTAACCATCTGTATAAAACCAAAACAAATGCGTGAATGAATTAAGCAAAAACAGAAAGAACGCCAGACGTTTCTTCAGTTTCTCGTTTCAACATGACGGCTTTCAGGAATTTTGCTAGGGTTTTCAAGGAGAGCTCTTCTCTTTCTGGGCTTCTTGCTCTTGGTGCAGTGAGGTGCGCTCTCTTTCTCTTTACTTTCTCTCTTTCATGTTATGAAGAATCCTTTCTTTTCCATGTTCTTTAAAGTATTTCTCTTTTGGATCTATCTATGACGAGCTTTTGTACTTTCGTCATTCTTTGTAAGTGTGAGTTACTCTGTTTTTTGTGAACGTATAGTTTGTTATGATTTGTTTTCAGAGAAATTTTGTTGGATTGTTACTGATTTCAGGAATTTGTTGGTTTATTTATTTATTATTTTTTTGAGTTGAATTGTATGACTGATGTGTTATCGATTGGTTATAATTGGCTAGCGATTGTTGCTAATAGCTGTTGATCTGATTAAATTGGCTGTTTGGATTTCCTTTTTAGGTTTTAGCTTAATTTATGTGCTTTACTGATTGCATTAATATCCTTTATATTGATTGTGCAGGGTTCATTAGTACATATAATTCAGAGATTGCTAATGCTAGTCAAATAAACAAATCTGAAGTTCTTGAATTGGAATTGTGTCGGACTGATTTTTAGAGAGTGCGGATTTTATTGGACTGGAAAGAATGTTGAGGATACATGTTATACATATGACTTAATTAACCTAGAAAGGGATCTGATGATTAATTAACTAATGCACGAATCTGATTTGAAATTGGCATTGTTTACTTTTGACAATTTAAACTCACTCCAGGGGTTATAAGTGCTGTAAGATTCACGAAATGGTCATATATAATAGTGAGCGAGAAATACCTCTGGGGAGGAGGTATATTGCATAAATAGTCTGTGCTTGTGGTGAATCAGATCTATTGGTTCAAGCAATGATATCTAAAATCTGTTTCTGAGCAACATGAAAAGTATTAATATCCTTGAGCATAATTAATGCAGAGAAAAAGAAAAAAAATAATTAATCTTATGGTTTACGTTTTTGTCCTTTTTTAGAAAGGGATATGGTAAGTTAGATAGAGTCCATTTAGATATAATCCTTTTACATGAATAGATTTGTTTTTGAAAAATGTTATGGGAAGTTTTTGCTTTTAGATAAGATCCTTATCTACAACGTGAAAGGAGGATATCCATAGGAAGGTAGAGAGACAACGTTGTAGGGGGAGGGGGAGAGAAAGGTTTTTTGTGGGTTTTTATTTTATTTTGTTATTCATTATTTCTTTTAAATGTATTTAAAGGGAAGATGTCCCTTCTTTGGAAAGAGGGCGATTGGTAATTGAGTAAAAAGTTTGATCTTGTGGAGTATCTTGGGGTGGATTCCCTTACGGACCTAGCGAGAGGGTATAATCTCTCAAACCCTTATTTTACTTATTTTTTATTTTTTAGTTTATTATTTTCTCCCTACATCAATAATGTTCAAGAAATAACAAAAGTTACAAAACCATTAAGAGGGAGCTGAGTATTTATTGATTTATTGACATAGGAGCTTAAATAGTAAAGAAATGAATAAGATAATCTTAGCAGTGAGACATATCTCTAGATGGTTTTTAGGTGATAATGCTTACCACCTACAACTCTGATGGAAATCAGTGCTAAAACACAAGGATTTGGTCGAGACTTGTTAGGGTCCCGAGTCTGCATCAGGTCTGATAGACTTAATGGAGTCCAAGTAAAATAATATTGGGAGTCAACTAGACTCCGCAGGTGCCCATGTGTTTGATTCTGCACTCTCAGCCTGCTGAGTCTGAGTAACCTGGGTGAGTTTGGTTCAGACTTGTGGAGTGTTTGTTCACTGAATTGGAAATACTTGTAGCTATCACCTTGTAGAAAGTGAATACTATCAATATGTTTTTTCTATCCTATCAAGGTAGAGGGCCTTGCTTCAGGCTTAAATGGTTTTCTTCAAAATATTTACTTTGATGAATGAGATTGCTTTCCTCTATTGGTCAACACAGTATGTTGCAATGACATATTTGGAACTTCTGATTGCACCTGAAAAGCACATTTCGTCAAGTCTCCAAAGAGGGCTAGATCTTTATATGTGATTGTCCTAGAAACCAATTCATTGCAACAAAAAATTTAAATAGTTTGAATGGTGATTGACTTGACTACTATGCTATATTTGTATTCATTGTCAATGCCTTCTTGATTGTAGTCCTTTGCTACCATGGGAGGATTGGACCTCTCCAATGAATTATTTGACTCGAACTTCACCCTGGATATTGAACCTATGCTATTTTTTAATTGGAGGAGGAAGGATGAATTCCCATGTGTCACTTTTATGTAAACTCAATTTCTTGATGTGTTGAGTTTATCCATCATTGAACTTTGATTGCTTTAAAATAAGAATTGCAATAGTTAAATTTATGTATTTGAGGTAATAAAGCATCACACTCACAAGCAAAACTATCACATGAAGAAAACTTATATATCATTAAGGGGCGTTCATGTAACACTTTCGAACAGAGTATTAAAGAGTAGGCAGAGAAGCATCTGGAATTGGAAAGAGCGCACCAAATATGCTTTACAAGGACGAAAATTCTGAAAACTAGGAGAATGGGTGCCTTTGGTTGCAATATGTGTTTGATGAAGGAGAGTCAACAATAACATTCCAACTAATGATGTTACCTTCATATTACTTACTTTGGCAAGCAATAGACGAGGCATTATTTATATTAAATATTGCATATTTGAAAATGAATATGACTTGATGTTCCTTTTTGAATTCTTGCATTATAGGAATTTTTTACACAATAGTGCTGTCAGCTCCTTTTTTTGGTAGGCAACCATTTATTCTGTTAAATATTGTAAGAGGAATCTCAAGTTTCTCTTGGGGCTGCACACAAAAGTAATGACCAGGAACTATTTGTTAGAGGTGAATGTAAGCATGGGGATATGGATAGAATCCCTCAACATGAGAATTTCTTCACTCAACTGATTCCCTATGTATTTGATCAATTTATTTCTTTGTTGGCTTCGCACTAAACAGGTCCAGTGATAACCTCCCTCATTATTCTAGAACCATCACAAAAGGCCCTACTTGACCCTGGGAGACTAGTGTTTCTAGAGACCTGCTATCAAATATGAGCTTTAAAAAGCTCACTTATAAGTGCATATGATGAATGCTAAACTTTGATTTCCACATATAATTGTGCAGTGTGCACCAGCTACTGTCACTTGTGAGTTAGTTTCTAAGCATAAGCCCTCCAAATTCCTCCAGGGGTATGGTTAAAAAAATCATTGCATCCTTAATCTGGTGTTTGAAGATTTATGGTCTACTATAACTGAACAAGGATAGCAATTTTTCCTTCCAAATACCCTCAATCACACCAAGAGACGTAGTTTGCACACTAGATACTCTCTCGGGGACATTGTACCTGCATGACCATAGCCCTGTCTGGACCGCTTCACTGATCCTACCTCCATACTCTTCATAAATGTAGCACAGGAGCTGCCTGCCTCAACCTCAAATCTTCGTTACCACTTTGTAATGGGTCAAAGCATATTATAGGTATGTAACAAATATATTTTCTTTTTTAACAGTACAATACACACCCATATATATAAATATATTGATAGTATGATTTCACATTTTATTATTATATTAAAATTTCTCCAAGTTCAAGGGAAGATCACAATTATGTTTTCCAACAATCTCTTTCTCTCTCTCACACACAACACAGTTACTCTCATACAAATTCAAACACATACATGTATGCATACTGATGCACACACATGCAGAAAGACACCTGATGTAGGAAAATTGGAGAAACAGTAGTAATTCAAGCCAAACACAAGCAATAATGAGAAGAAATCTAGCGTTTCTTCCCCAACCCAGCTGGGCTTTCAAAAGCCTGGGGTTTTTCCTTTCTTTTTGATTTATTTTTTGAAATGGAGACATGTTAATGAGCCTCCAGTCCACCATGCACCAGTTTTATAACCTTTTTAATGTTCAAAAGACAAAAGTTTTCTATACAGGAAATAAATTGGCCCATATGTCCTAACTTAAGTTAACTTTTAAAGTAAATGACACTAACTATAAATAAAATAACTAAAAAGTCCCAATTGGTCCAGTAATTAAAATGATTGAAAATAACCCCAAAGTAACGAGAAAATATCTCAAACAATGCTTGAATCTTCTTGTTCTTCTTGCTAGCCCTCTTCGGTTCAATCCTCGTAATATCCACAAGAATTAGGAGGAATCTGCTGCTCCCATAGAAGATACTTGTTACTCTGTCCATTTGATGCACTTTGTGTGTCATCATTCTCCCTAGTTTGATGTGAACTCACCCTCGAGGTAGAACCTTCATCCATCTTTGGTCCATGAAACTTCTGACGAATGAACAATGTTGAAGATATCAAAAGTCCACATATTTGATGGCAAAGTGACATTGTGAGCATTGCCGCCCATCTTCTTCAAAATCTTAAAGTGGTTTTGCATTGCAATCATTTAACTTCTTGTATTTGTTTGCTGGATGCCTTTCCTTCTTAAGGTACACCATCACCCAATCTCCCACATTACAAGATGAGATCAAGGCATGCCATGCTACTAAACCCCTTATAGACTTTGGATCAACCACTTTTTGGGCCCATTGGGATCTGCCAAACTTGTGGTACATGAGCACTACATACTTGGTCCTAAACACATTGGAGGATACTCAACCATGAACTTTGAAGCGGCCCAAGATTAATACAACGTTACCCCCGTGATTTCCTTTAGCTCGTACATAGTGATTAGATATAGGGGTTCTCCACTCAAAACAAATCGATGCTCCAACATCTAGAATCACATAATCAACCATTAGTTGGGCACCTTCTATAATGAACTTACTAGCAAAAAGCTCACAAGGAAATATCACCAAACACTTGGGGTGCTCCATGGTACCCCAATTTCGTAAAAGACATCAAGAGAATCAACATCCCCGCTACCACCATCATCTCTTTAATCCTCTTGCCTTCACCTCTTCTTCTCCATAAATAATTCACCCACCAAATTATCATCAAAGATAGGGCCCTCATGGAAGATGGGATCACTGTCGAAGACAAGATCACCATCTCCATCAGTAGGTTCCTTGTAAAAG